AAAAAAAAAAAACAGTATAGAAAGAATAAATTAACAATGAAAACCTTTTACCGATCGTTTAACACGTGCTTAGTAATCAAATAAGCAGTAAAATGGCAGTTTTATCTGATGGCTTAGGGCCATACTTATGCAGGAAAACATACAAAACCAGCTGTAAAACGCTGTGTTGGTATTGCTGCCGTTGGAGTACTAAAGAAGTCATAGCAAAATTTTGGCGCAATGGACAAAAAGCTGTGATGTTAATAATTTCGACCTATTTGCACTATTTTTCTCTCTTCCCAGTCTTCCTTCCTCTTTTTCCTCTCCTTTCCTTTCTCTCTTCTCTCCTTCTTTCCCCTATGTAACCTTCCTCTTTTTTCTTAATGACGCCAAGTCGTCATAAAAATTTCAATCATCTGTAATTGAAAGTTATATACATTAGAAAAAAGAAGAATAACATCTTTTCTAGTCCTAGCAACGTGTATTCTAAAATAAATACTATCAAACAAATCCGCTCTGTTTGATAGTGCTGAAACTTGCTGTAACACATCAAAAAAAGCGTTTGATTACACTATTGTTGCCTCATCAAAGCAAAATCATACTGAATTGAATTTGATAATATAGACGGCTAAGAATAAAAAAACAAATTGGCGAATTTGCTGTAGTATTTTAACAACGTTTTGTTAAATCGGCCTGTGGTACTTAGATAGACTGAAAAATCGGCACTTTCTTTCCTTTGTTCAACAATCTGCGAAACAAAAAAGTGTAATTTAAAATAGCAGAGAATCTTACTGGCTAACGGTGAACTTTATCCATTATCGTACAGCTATACCCAGGAGTAATCAACGCTTAGTCTAAACTACAACCTTCTCGAGAATTAAATTTTAATTGTTATTTTTCAGCTTTATTTCTTTTCTTCTCTTTTTTTTGTAATTATTTTTTTTATTTTTTCGACCCACTTTCTGTAAATGATGTGCAGTGTAAAGCAGTGTACCGCAATCTTTGCTGAGATAAGAAAAACTTTTTCAGATTAGCTTAACAATCAATAAAAGTAGATTTTTATGACAGTCAATACTTTTAATCAAATATTAACCACTTTTTCATAACTACTGTTGATTAGATTCTGAAGAATCAATTCAAACGCATTTATGATTGTCAGAACCTAAAATGAAAAAGAAAATATTAGACGACCGAGTACATCTTTCTGAACCTTTGTCTGGTAACCGAAGAAATAGCAGGAACAAGGAAGCTGCAGATAAGAAAAACCTTTCCAGTCTTCTTCCATTCGGCGAAAAAAGGCAATTTAGTCAACTAATATGGGGTGCTTTTATATGGGGTAACTGAAACTGTATTGTACACTAATTAAACAATTTCATAATGGATGCATTTGATAGGAGAGTTTAAGCTAAAGTAAAGTGAGAAATAAGTGAGCAAGCACTAGTAAACTGCTAAAGCCATCCTGACGGCTCATTACTTTGTTTTAATCATTTCGCCGATGACTCGTCATTAAGTCATGTTTTAGAAAGATAAATTTTCAGTTTTGCACCTAAGACGTTCACTGCAAAACTCATCAAAAAATTATGGTAAACTTACTAAAATTTTTATGAAATAATCTTAAGATAAAAAAAAAGCGAAAAAGTGAACCAAATGTATTTCTGTGCTATACATCTTTATAACACGAATTTTTCCCTTCTTTCTACAGCTTTTATCATGAAGAATGTGATTTTGACAATGTGATGCAGATTCACCAAAGCAACTAAAAGATAATGAATTTTGAGAATTTTACTGTTGATGAAAACACTAACCAGTAATCCATTGATTATTCTATTTTCATTCACTTAGGGCACCAAACGTTGGAAACTGATTCTGATAAATGATATTAGTAAAATCTGTTGTCATCTTTTGATGACAATGACTGCTCTTCATCTTTTCAAAAACCTTCAAATAACGAAAGTAGAAAACAAATGCAGTAAATTATAGTCATAGAATTTCGAGATTTTTTCTTTATTTATGTCAATATTTGAAAATTTTATTATAAGATAAAATGAGACGATTTCTCTCTCTAGAAAATGCTAGTATTTGACAATGAAGTTCCAACTATATAAACCTTTATTTGTTTATTTATTCATTTTTTTTTTTTTTTTGAAAATAAATCGATTACCAGCAAGAGGAGTTATATTAGGTAAGCAATTCTTGTTTACAATGAAAATCTATCTTCAAATTGGCTTCGCTATGTGGTGAAAGCCGTTGTTTTTGACCATAAACTGCAATTCGATTTTTGGGTTTAGCGGAAAAAGAATTAGATGTACGGGAAATATTGGCAAAATGTTGCAATTAATTAATGCTATGAATAAACTGTCTGAATTTGAAAACTGTTTTAACACTTTTTAGAAAATACAATAAATTTTGGCCAAGATCTAACGTTTTTCAAACTTGGTATTGTACACAACTTCTTTGTTGCTTGGCCGTCCGTCTTCAGTAGACGTGTAGTTTTTTTGAATGTGATCCTAAATTAATAAACTCCAAGTACTGTTGACTTGAATAGGGCACTTATTTAGCGAATTTTTTTCTTTGATGCACTTGTGGAAGACTATTTGTTGCTACAAAACGTTTTTGAAACGCTTCTTAATGTTAATTAGCTGTTCTAAACTACTGAAAACAAGGCAGATCTAAGTCGCTGATAGCCGTGGAATTCAACTTGCGTTATGCCCCTTTCTTTTTTTACGTGATCTGAAAATGGTTTTGTTTAGAGAAACTGCAGTAAACACAGTACAGTGGAAACCGCACATTCCACCACACTCTTTTTTCAAAATGTGCGTTCGCGGCGAACAGGATTCGAACCTGTGCGGGCAAAGCTCATTTGATTTCTAGTCAAACTCCTTAACCACTCGGACATCGCCGCTTCTCTTTGGCCCGCCTTGTTATCGTTGACTATCAATCGTTTATCGACTACTGAAACGTAGAGTATCTGCTCTTCTAAAGGATTGTATAACAAAATTAAAAGTGCCGCTTATAAACTTTAGAGGTGTGTTAAAATTTAAATTTTTTCAGTTTTTAGCCACAACGTTAATTCGATGTTGGTATAGCAGTGGTAAGCGATGATAAAGTTCAAAGTTGCTGTTGGGTCAGAATCTCTGGACCCTCTTGGATTGCTGTGTTGAAGGTGCGTTAGCGTTCAGAAATTTGTTTTGTTTGGAAGGCAGTTTGCTTTCAGCACCAACTTTCATTTGTCTTTGTGTTAATTCGCCGTTTGAAGCTCCACCAACTGTATCAGATCAAGCGACTTCTGTATTAGTGGCGTATTATAACAAAATCTCTTGCGCAATGCTGCTTATTTTTCGAACAATTTCTTATTATCACAGGATAATCTGAAAAAAAAAATAAAGTTTGCTGACAAAAAAAATATGAACTTTACAATACTAGTGATCTTTCACTTCAAGAAATGCGCCTCGTATTTTTTTTTCTGGTTAGTCCTGCTGTCTGTTTTTTGTTTTTATTTTGTAGCTTAGGAATCGCTCGTCACATATTTTCTTTGATGTGCTGAAGTCCAATAATCATCCTTATCTGTTGCCCTCAAATAATCTGAGCTTCTTTTTAGTTTTGGTACTGAGAAGCATGTCCAATACGAGTTACGTGAGCATTGAAAATGGTGCAAAAATATATTTGTTTCTATTTATATAAAAAATTTTTTCACAATGATCAAAAGCCTTTTAAACAAATGTCTATAATAAAAGCATCAATTTTAAAATGAATAACGACCTGCAAAATATTTTTTTAGTTTTCAATGGGCCGTAAGCACATCTGAAACCTCAATGAACTTAACAGAGGCAGAAAGGGACGAACTGTTAGACAAAAATTTGGAACTGCAATGGCACTATTTGATACTGTCTGTTGTACCAATTGTTTGCATAATAGGGAACTGCATGGTGATAGCAGCAGTTTGGACTACCCGAAGTCTTCAGACGCCAACTAACTATTTGTTGGTCAGTCTTGCAGTTGCAGATCTTCTGGTCGGCGTTTTCGCTATGCCATTTAGTATCTATTTGTCGGTAAGCCATATATACTGCTTGGATGGCAAAAAGAGAGGAAAAAATAAAATTGTTACGTGATGGGGGAAGGGGGAAGGGTGAGGATAAAAAAAAACAAATAAATAAAAATAAAAGTAGGAAGAAAATAGGGAAGGGGGAAAACAGAATGCAAACTGGCGTTAATGCGAGCTTATTGGAACTGTTTATGGACAAAATATTCTGCCCAATTATTCAGATTGAATGTTTGAGAAGAAGAGGCAACACAGAAAACAACTTAATAATAATAAGGAAAAAAAGAAGAAGATGAAGAACAACAACACGAAATGGTTGCAGAATTCTACTAACAACTCAAAATTTTTATTGGAATTTTTATGTTCTGTTTTAATTTTTATTTAATTCACTAATTTCTTTTTTATGTTTTTTTTCCAGGTAAATAGCCTTCATTGGCACTTAGGGATTGTATTGTGTTACATTTACAATGGTTTAGACGTTGGCTGTTCTACTTGCTCAATTATTCATTTAGTACTAATTAGTATCGACAGGTCTACTGTAATTTCATTTATTCATTTGCTGATAATAATGAGAAGTAAAAACCAAGTTTTTCTTTTCTTTGTCACATCAAACAGTTATTCTTCATTGCTCATATTTGAATTTATTTTCTATTTTTTAATTTCAGGCTAGTTGCTGCTACTAAACCAGCTGAATATAAAACTGTGAAGCATAAAAAACGGGTGTATTATGGCATATTTTTTGCATGGATTTCTTGCTTTGCATTAGCTTTACCTTTAAGTAAGTGAATAAGCAATGTTTTCTTTTTTCAATAAATTATTGTACACTGATTGAACACTGTAAGCAGCATTTTTCTCTGCCGTTTCTACCTTTTATTTACTTACTCTTTTTTTTCGCATTGATTTATAAAAATAAATATAAGCTAATACCATTTTGATACATTAAAAATTGCTATTTTTACTTCATCGTTTTCAGCCCTTTTTCTTTCGGGGGAGGGGAGGGAGAGAGGAAGGGGTTTAATTTTGCTTAACGAATTAAAATTTGAAAACAATAACAACAGCAACGAAAAAAAGAGGTATAAAAAAGAGAAAGGAAAGGAAAAAAACTAGATAAATAGATAGAAGAGGAAGAAAAAAAAAGACGGCAGATTTTCTTTAATTCATAGTTAGAAACTAATCCCGTAATCTTCTAACCACATCAATTGTTGCAAACCCGTTCCTTAACAGTCTACCGGAAAAAAAAAGCCATAAATTTCAGTGGCCATGGATGCTGATATTTTTTGATTTTCACTTTTTTATTTCACCCCTTACAATTTCCTATAACATACATCAACCTATTAAAACGTAAATTTTTTTTTTTGCTTTTTTTTGGTCTCCTTTCTTCTTCTTCTGCTTATTTTCAGCCCTATCAGGTGCTGGTTTCATGTCAAAAACGAGGGAATTTTTGGAGAGCGAACACCACTGCAATCTTTACAGCCCTGTATATATGTTTTGCAGCTCAATTTTTGCCTTTTTTTTGCCATGTATGATTATGATCGTTACATATGGATATATATTTCACACACTACGAAAACGACTACAAGCGATACAGCTTCAAGTAAGCAAAATCAGTAGCAAAAAGAAGTAGTTGTATTGTCTTCCTTTCTTTTTCTTCTTCCCACATCTTCGTTAACCCATCCAACAAACGACCGTAAGTGGTTCCTGAATTTGGTGGACAAAACTGTTACAGTAATTTGTAAATTCACTAAACAATAGACATATCGACATGTTAGCCGGTGTTTTGAGAAAAAATTCTTTTATTTCTTGTCCGTTTCAGATTGTCTACCGTAGGCAAAATGCTGGATTTAAAGGCTTGAAAAGTTAAGGAAACAAAAATGATCTGAACGGCAGCAGTAGCAGTGAAAAAAAAAAAAACAAAAACAAAAAAGGAAAAAAAACTGCTTGGCAAGATTGTTTTATGTTGTTCTGTTGAAAAGGTGTTTTCAAACCAGAAATGTCAAGCAATGTTTCTTTTTTTTTTTTTTTCAACCACAAATTTGGTTAAGCGTGTCGAGCATACCAAATAGAAAAAAATTTTTTTTTCTATTCAACATGCAATATATTCATTTATTGCTTAGAGTAGAATAAGCTTTGAAAAAAAAACGGTGACAGTAACGGCTTTTTTGATTTTTAGATTATTGTTTTCTTTTTTTTTTTCTTTCTTTTGCTGCTTATTCTAATCTTTATTTTTTTCTGCATAACATATTTTTCTTTTATGAAACGATGAAACGGAGAAAAAAAACAAATTTATTTTAAACAAGAGACAAAACACCATTTATCGCCATTTCATTTCTGATAACATTCACGTTCTTCCCTTTCCTGTCTTCGTTCACCCAACCAACGACCGTAAAGATAATAACCAACAGCAAGCGACAACAGTTTTTCTGTTAAGCATAATTTGGCATTGAGAAAAGTTCATTAGTAGCCATTGCAACACTGTATCACTTAAGTT